CCTACTTAATTGTAAGCTTCCGAAAGACAGCAACAACGTCTTAATCACTACTTTATTCCCAGTTCCTAGCATTCTAGTAAGTGCTCAGTAAATATTTATTGAATGAATTAATTAGATAATATTTTCATTATATAGATGAGTAGCTGTGGCTTAGAGAAGTGAAACAGTTCACGCAAAATCATACAACTAATAAGTGTTTGATCTAGGGAGTCTGTTAAACTCTAAAACCCATGCTGCTTCACCACACCACCGTGCTAGATCTACCTGATAAGGATCACAGCTTTAACAACTAGATGCTTGGTAGAGATGGTTTTCCTTGTACATATTGGCGATTTTATCTTCAGCCTCATGTTTTATTGCAAATTGGCATTGTAATCATTGGATAACTCTGGCAGGTGAATTGTGCCCTGTGTCTTCAACAAAGAGAACTATTTAGAACATTGAAAGTAACCATTTGGATTTTTCCTTTCCCAAAAATGATATATTTTTGCAAAGAGGCATTTATTGATATTATTTGGGTTATAGGCACATTTTGGTTCTACTGTAGCCTCAATGGAAAAAAATGGGAATGAGGTACAGAAAAGTTTAATTAGTGATAGAGTAATGACTAATATTCTGAACATTGTATTTTAAATTTTTAGTTAATTATCATTCCTTATCATTTTTAGGTTCATGCTCTTTTTAATCACCCATCCATTCTCCATGCCCCACCCCTACCCAACTTCCATATTCTTACAGAGACAAAGCACAGGGCTTACAAAAAGTTGCTCTTAATAATGGCTCCCAATGCATTCATTCAATAATTATCAGTTGTGCACATACTGTATCCCAGATAACTATTCTAGACCTTGACGGTACCAAAGAGAACAAAACAGATAGGATCCCTGCTCACATGAAGGCTTGCATTCTAGTGGGGAGAGATAACAATAAGTGAACAAACACACAAACACACACACACAAGAAAATATCAAGTCATGACAAGTGCTAAACAAAGAATTAAAATGGAGTGATGGATGGAAAGTGTGGCTGTTTTAGAACCGATGAAGGAAGGCCTCTAAAATTAGCCATGGCAGAGATGATGATGGTACATTCTAAACCTAAAAGACTAAACAAGGAGAGGTGAGAGCAAGCAAAAAGTTGGATCAGCTAGGAACTGCTGCATCTTTTCTCATGAAGTTCATTATTAGTAAAAAAAGAATAGAAGAGAATATGTTACTGTTTTGAACACATTCTTGAATTGGATGGCATATATGGGATGAATATAATATGGAGTGAAACATTTAAAAAATATTTAGAACTTAGAGACCTTGTACATTAGTTTCTCCCACCAAAAAAATAAAAGTACTAAAGAGAGAAGAGAGCTATGGATTAGCTAAACAGGCAGACAATGTTGGTGTTCAAGGGATTGAAATAGCCAGAAAAAGAAATGGGAAGTGAAAAAGGGAAAACCTAGTATATGTCAGGCACTGTGTTACAATCTTTACACACTTAATCTTATTCACGTCTCACAACACCTTACAAAGTAGGTAGTATTAAGCACATTTTACAGAAGTACAGTTGAAGCTCAGTGAACATCTAGAAAATAATAGATTCAAACCTAGACTCACCTATTTACAAAACCACTGCTCCACCCAAATCGGCCTTTTGTCTCTGAAATTGCCTTTCAGACCATACTTTTCCAAGACCTTCATCCTCTCTTCTGTTGCAGTGTTTTGTAGTTTTGAGCCGAAGCCAAATTTCAGCTAAGTCCCATTATCATTCTTCCTGACTCTCAGTTAAGCAGTTCTTTCCTATACAGTTAACTTTTCAGCACAGCTTTCGATGATGGGTCTTAGTGAGCAGGAGGGCTATTAATGATGCATGTGCTTCCTGTGTAGACCGTTGCAGGAGAAAAGGAACATTTGGTTGTTTTCAATGCCAAACAACAAGTTGCTAGGGAGGACAAAATGCCTATTAGGCTTATTTATTTCTAAAATTATCTAAATTATGGATGTAATCCTTTTTAAAAGATTCAAAACATCAAAAACCAGGACAAAATATGAAAATTCGTGACTTATGCACATCCTTTATGTCAGATAGTTTCTTTATTTGAATCTCACATAATAGCTTGAGCTGCAAAGAAAACCAATAATAATACATAGTGCTCAGCACCTTCATTTTGTTTTTGACCAAATGCTCCTGAATCCTTATGATTCCACACTTTTAAATCTATCCTAAAATAACATTTATCTTTTTCAAAGTCCCCAACCATAAATTAGCCATAATGGAAGCTCTTCTTGCTTTTATTGCAAAGATATGTGCTCCAACCTTTGTGTCTAAAGTGTTTACCTGGCTTTTTCACAGCTGACTCAGTGGATTGGAACCTTTTAATGCAACCTACATGGCATGTGGTCACCAAATCTATGCAAAGTCTTTGTAATTTTCATATGATTGATAACATATTGCTCTTCACTGGTGAGGGGAACCATATCTATTCTGTTTCCTGCTTGCCTTTGTAGATGTTAAGTTACTTAATCCATTTACTTTCATGATTGGGACTTCAAATGTAGAAATGTGAAAGAAAAGCAACCAGGCTCAACAAACCTGTGTCTGACTCTTAGGCCTAGATATTTTCTACTATACTGTGTTACCTCCCAGGATTATAAAACCAAAGCTCCCTTTTGTACAAAGTAACCCAGTTAGTGGGGAGAGATAAATATGAAATTAACTAACCAATCAAATGCCATAGCTTTAGGAGAAAAAAGGCTTTTTATTTTTGCTTATATTATCTTTAATTGACTCATAATAATTGTACATATTTATGGGGTACACTGTGATATTTTGATACAGGTATACAATGTGTAATGATAAGTCAGGGTAATTAGCATATCCATCACCTCAAACATATTTCATTTTTTCGTGTTGGGTACCTTCAAAATCCACTCTTCTAGCTATTTGAAAATATGCAATAAATTGTTAATTATAGTCACCCTATAGTGCTATAGAACACTAGAACTTATTTTTCCTATCTAGCTATCCTCTTTTATTCATTAACCAACTTTTGGAAAAGTTCCTTTCTTGAAAGCCTTATAGCCAGCCTCACAGTTTTCCAAAACTGTTATCCGTGCTTGTCTTTTAGACCTTCATTTGACCCTTCGTCCCTCGTGATCATATATCAACTACCATTATCCTCTATGTTAAATGCATACAGCTCTCTGTTTCAGAACTTACCCCAAACCTCCCTCTATTTTCTATGACATTTTTCTCTAAAAGGATGTATGTGGGAGGTTTTAAACTATAGTGTTATATCACTGCTAGGTATTGTTACTAAATACAACTCGAGACTTTCTCTAAAAAACTTACTGAGGTTAGCTTTAGCTACCCATTCTTCAGTTAATTCAGCTAATGCTTCATCTCTAATCTATGTCAGGCATACATATATTTCAGAACTTCAGAGATGAATAATATAAATGAAAAACTATTCCCTTAGGAAGTTTATAATCTGCTTCTCAGCCCTACTCGCTTAGACTACTTTTTCTCTTCTTAGTCTACCGTATACACCACTTTCAAGTGTTTCTCTTATTCTCTTACTAATCTTAAGCTCCCAGGGATCATATCCAAATGTTAGCCAGAAAATACAAATAATACTATATAAAGTACTTGTTAGAAGTAAATGAGATGGTAATTTTAGTGTGTAAAGGAGATTCTCAGTAAATGGTTACTCTGTCATGTCACTTACTTGCTCAAAAAGCCTTCAGTGACACCTCTGTTGCCTTTCAAATTAAATGTAAATGTCTCAGCCCCACTATTAGATGCCCTCAGGTAAGAACCCCCCTGCCAAACTACTGTCAGTCTGCTCTTATGACTCTGCTACACATTCTCTCAGTCAAACCCAGAGTCCTACTCCCTGAATACACCCTCCTCTTTTTACCGTGAGGACAAACCAGTAATTATTGCCATTTTTTGAGTGTCCATCGTGTTTTAAGAAGGTATGTCTGCTATTTACATATATTGTTGCTAAATATCTAATTTTAATGTAGTGGTTAAGAATACAGATCCAGAGTTCAGCTCCTTGTTTATTTTCATACCTTGGCTGCACAATCTTCTAGCTGTGTGACATTGGACAAGTCACTTAATCTCTCTAAGCCTCAGTGTCCTCACCTGTAAATGGAGATAATAATAGTAAGTATTATAGTGCTGCTGTGAAGATTAAAAATAATAATCCATGTAAAGCACCTAACACAGTAACTAACACATAGTAAGCTCTCAATAAATACCAACTATTTTTATTACCGTTCAACAACTTGTTATTTTCTTCTCATTCACCTCTGCCAAAGTATTTTACAAATGGTGAGAAAAGCGAAGTAGCACTTTCAAAGTAATAACACAACAAGTAATTGGAAAAGATGGGACTTGAAACCAGAGCTGTCTGGCTCCAAAATCCTTTCCCACCACACTGTTGCCTTATGCTAATCTCTCTACCTGAAAAATATCCTTCCGTATGTCTAACTGGAGTAATCTTTCCCAGCCCATCTCCGGTGTTGCCTCCTTCACCAAGCTGTCCTTGATCAGCATCTAAATGTGAGCTCTCCCTCAAAATCCTCAGTGTGTCCCTCATTCTTACATAGAGTTTTGCTATAGGTCCTTGTCTACTAAGCCATGAGCTCTTTGACACCTGGGTTGGGGCTAGACCCCTGTTGCCCCTGAAGCAGAGTACTTTGCATTGAGTAGATACTTAATATTAACAGTCACTTTAACTGAACAGAAGTTGTTGAGGTCACAAATGGAAAATTCTGTCCAATTCAATCCAGGAATCATTTACTTACTGAAGTGTCTCTAGACCTAGCCCTGTAATAGACACTGGGTTTAAAGAGATAAGAAAATTCCCTGCCCTCAAGGAATTTAAAGTTTGGTAAACGTGCTTTGAATCACAAAGTAATTCTTTTTTAGTGGAGACATTATAATCAAATGAAGCAAATACTTCAGTAATGCAAATATATTCTTATTTATTGTTTATACAGATACAGTTGTCTCCTCCAGCTGCTGTACCAGTTTAGACTACATCGTCACCTACCTCTTCAAGCACATAGCAAAAGAGGGCAAGAAGCCACTTCGATGCGGAGAGGCTACCCAGGCTGGTCAGAGACTATTACATTTTATGCAGCAAAACCCAGATGTCCTGCAGCAGGTAACTGGTAGTTGTTCACCTACCTTAAAAAACAAAGTTTCCAATAAGCCAACCTGTCCCTGATTATCTCTTAGAGCAATTAGTCTTGCCAAGACTTTTTACCAGTTATCATCTAGGAGTATTTTCCCTAAAAGCGGGATAGAACACTGGTCTCAGGATTACTCACCCTCAAGAAACCCCTTTGCCATTCATCTTACCTCAGTGAAGCTAGAATTAAAAAAGAGAATAGTTTTTCCAGACACCTGAGAAAAATAGAATGAAACTGGAACTAGAAACAGACAACCTCTGATTTCTTTCCTGGAGCCTCTGATAATGTCATCTTAAGTTTGACTTGTGAATACTCTGGTACATTAGGAAATTACCATTTGCGGGGCTCCTACTCTGTGCCTGACAACTTGCTAGGAACTTGCCATTCATTATATTATAATTGGTATTTTTCCCATTTTAAGAAGAGAAACTCCAGTTCAGATAGATGAGGTATATTTCCAAGAACACTTAGTAAGTAATAAAGCCACAATTTCTTTATTTTAAAATGTGTTTTCTAACTGGCTAATAAGTGTTAGGTTGAAGTTTAGTATTGTTTTAAAAAACTCACTTGTACAAATCACAGTTAATAGCATACATGAACAATGAATATACATGCCAGAAATATTTCAAAAAGAACAATACCATTTTTTAATGGCTGTACCAACACTCTGATATTTCTTAATTCCGCTGAATTTGGAAAATATCTTCATACTATTTTCAGTTGTTTTCTTTTGCCAAATTATATCTGTAATAGTCTGTAATTAACAAATGTAAACACTTCAATGGTGTCTTGCTGCATGATCATTAGTGAGCAAGTAAGTCACAATAATCAGAAAATGCCACAGTGTAAATGAGTGATGAAAATAGAATGAGATGGCATGAAAGAGATTTCTTTCCTGGCTGTCCTTTTTTGCTAATATTTAAATGAAATTATGTAAACCTTATTTGTGATGAAGTTTCAGTTAACTAGTTATTTTGTGGGGTGGGGGCAGATAAATGTAATTCATATTTTATATAACTAGGCAAAAGGCTGTAGGCCTATAACTATTTGGTATGACCCTGGAACTGTTACATGTTGGGAATATAGTAAAGGGAAGATGAAGGTACTTCGCATGTTGTGAGGATTTATTACATGCAAGGTGCAAGAACCATTAAGAGTTATAAGACATAATTTCTCTCCTTAAAAAATGTCCTTACATTCACAATGTTGTGCACAAAAAGAGAAAAAAAAAATAAATGTTATGTGGGACAAAGAGACAAGTACCTAACCAGTTATTTGGTGATTTGATTAATATAGTGATGACAAGAGAGTGACATATGAGGGGAGTACTGTCAGAGAAGTCTTCTCATTTAGACCCAACAACAACCCTAAAATGTGGGTATCATCATCCTCATTTTACAGATGAATAAGTTGAGGTGCAGAGAGATCAACTGGAAAGTGATGGAGTTGGAATTTGAACCAAGGTCTGTTTAGCTCAAAAACCCAAGTCCTTACTACCACACTGCTGATACTCAAGGTGGGGATAATATCTCAGATTCACCTTGAATGCCTTTTCAAAATGTATATTTTATCAAGATATGAGTGCACCTCACCCACACACACCCACCCAAATGCAGTAGCCACTGGTAATGTTGGGAGTATGTCTTAGCCCTCATATGTTTTGCAGGGAGAAGGTTGAGAACAACTTACTTACACCATGTAGCCACTGAAGAAAATAAATATTCATGGACTGGCCAGGAGTCAGACCCAGCCCCAACCCCACCGACAAGTCCACCACCAAATCACTCCAGCCATAATCACAGTATTGTCCCATAAACTTTGGCAGAAACTTTTAGGTTGGTAGAAAATTTTAGCAAAAATCAATAGGCTGTGATCCTAGACAAAATACCATCAGACTGCAGAGCAAGTCATGTGAATGTGCAGGAGACAATCAAGTTTGTCTTTACTCAGAATTACCATCCATTTATTGGTTTAAGTAATTTCTATGTGTTAATGATACTTGGTAATCCTTCACGTTATAGCATATGACTAAGAAGTGATATATCTTTATTAACAGTGGAATACATTCTATTTATTTGGAATGTAGGCTTTCAGATAGCATCTTAAATATTAATGACTGGTCTCTGGTAGTCAGCATAAATATGATTTGCATTAGCACTAGGTTATATCATCTTGAGTGCCTCTGATGTCAGCTATTGGGTATAGTAATATCTGACATCATCTCCTTAGGTCACTGACAACTTTGACCTCTATTCTTATGCACAGTTTCTGTCGTCTCAAAAGCTCTTTTGAATTGATTTGAAATTTTGACTCTTCCCTTTATGAGGCAGTAAAATTGATAATTATTCAGATGGGAACAGAGCGCTGAGTGAAAAATCAATTCCACCCGCTCTCTGCTGCGTATAAAATTACTTGTGAGTCGGCTGGACTGAACGGATGGCCAGAGTAAAAGCAGCAGGCAGGAGTAGTGGGAAGAATTAGCTGGACAGAGCTAATAGCCTGAAGGGATGGACTTGGAAAAGAGGGAGTGGGCCAGTTGGGGGTTATTATGAGCAGGGATGGTCCCATTGATCATCTGTTTACATCAGCTTTCCAAGACCTTATAAATCAGCCCTGAAGAGCAGCAGAACCCAAGATTCAGCCTATTACCAGTGGGACCTTGTATTAGATTATCTTCATTTTCACACTCAGATGAAAAGTGAGCCATTGATTATTCATTGGTTGCCCATTAAATGCTGTTTTTTATAGATGATTTGCCTATCACAGAAGGTAATGAACAAGGTTGCTGCTTTATAACTTGAGGTTTCAGTTTTCAAGGCATCTGTGTCGGTTAAGTAATGCCTAACCCTATTAAAAGCAATGGGTTACAAATTGCTTAACAGTGCTGAAAAACTAGACCCTAATGACTAATTGTGCTTGGAGTTTAGAGAGGGTTTGTCAGCTCTTTAAACTAAACGGATGCAGTGATACTGCAATTATTTACTAGTTTGCACTGTTTTTCCTCCCAACCTGGACCTATTTTGCTGGATACATAATTGCATGAAGAATGTCAATTCCAGATTGCAAAAGTTATCTCCTCAAGCTTCCATAATAAAGGAAGCAGGAACCTACATAAAGGATTTTCCAGCATCTTTACGGGCCTTTCCATTTGTATACAGTAGCCTAGGAAAGATATTTTAGTGCTTCTCACCTGGAAATGTGTTTATTATGACCTGCTGTATGGCTTTAGATCCTCAGTGTTTTAAAAAATGTTCTCAAAATAAGCCATCTTTCATACGTTGCAAACAAATTTAACTTTGCATGCATTAAAATTTAGTCCATATGAAGATCCATTGTAATTAAGAGAATCTATTTCAAGTAAAAATTATTGCCTCACCAGCATTGCTTTTACTTAACAATTGAGAAAAACCAAGTTTAGATAAATTAAGGTGGAAAAATTCCCCAAGTATTTTTATGCCATTAGAAGGATAAATTAAAAGTTTAAGAGGAGACCAAAGTAACGGTGATTAGATTACTGATTACTACTGATTAGTAGCAGACACTGATCTGCTACAGTAATTTGGAAGATAACATTTCTATGTGAAATTTGTTTCAGTTTCATCACTGGTCATGTTAAGTATTTGCATTCATTTAGTTGTATCACAGAGTGAATGATATCCCCAAATTAGGTAAATGAAGGAGCGTGTTTTATAGAATTAGAGGGGCATTTAAGATTATGAACAATTCTTTTTGAGATTATAAGAATAGGACACTGATACTGAATGCTTCTTTAAATCAGAAATTGAGTTAAAACTAATTACTCTAGAAAGAGTAGCACCTTCTACAGAAGTATAAGAAGTATGTGATTGTTAATATGGCTGATTAGATTATGCAATTAATTTATTAAGGTATTTTTAGCAATTATAGTCTTTAAAATCTAAATTTATTGCATGGAGAAATTAGAGCAGTTAGATTTGAATTTATCTTACCTTCATCTATTTATCTATTTGGCTCAAGTCAGCTGTACTAAAATCCCAAAGAAGTTCTAATTACGATTTTCTCTTTTTTATTTTGTTTATTTATTTATTTGCTAACCTGGCATTTAACTACAAGTTGTGAAGAGCTGTCAGGAGCTATAAAAATCATACTTCAGTAGGGATGTAAGCTGAAAGAACATTCACCCTTTTCCTCAATCTGTCAGTCAATCAATGAAAATTGCTTTTGTATAGTGCTCTTCATGACATGCATCCCAAAGTGAATTACAGCAAAAGGGAAATCATCTGCTCTTTTTTCATTTCTGTGTTTAGACTGAAACGATATTGCTCAACATTTTGACATACTGTGCAAGACATCTTTCATACTTAAGATTACATTCCATAATACTAAGTAGGAGAAAGTGCAGTCGAATATTTAACTGATGTTGAGACTTTGGCCTACAGAGCCTTAGCAAGACTGTCACAGTAGAAAACACTTAAGCAGATGAAATATAGTCACATCTCTTATCCTCTTGAAAAAAATAATTAGCCAGACTTTCTAATGTTAAGAAAAACATTTCTAGTGATCCTTAAATAGAAAATAGGCTCTCCGTATAACCCATTGGCTCATCTGGTTGATTTGCAATTTTATTCTCAAAAATATGGCAGTAGATATGAAAAACAAGCTAGAAGAACATTCGTAACTGGATCAAGGATAACATGGATTTAAAGGTTTAAAGGAAGCCAGAGATATGTCATTAGACACTGAAATTAGAAAATAGGACCTCAGATTTTATGACAGAATTGTTTTTTGCGCATACTGCTGCAGTCTTGGTCTTAACAGCAATACATGCATATACCATGTACTTATTTCTAGGAAAAAAATAATACTGGCAAAAATATAAGTGTTTACTGTGTGCAGGCACTAGCTCTTTATATATGCATTACCTGATTTATCATCACGGTATCTCTGTGAAGGTATAGTATTATCACTGCCATTTTTCAGATACAGAAACTAA